AATTCTATAAGCTGTGCATACAACACTTTTTGCTAGGCCCTGTAGATAACGAACAATCATTACCGATTTTTTCAATTTTTTTTGTAAAAATATAAAAAAAATTGTACTTTGCGGGGAAGGATCTCGAAAACCTTTTATTTTTTTGCAGATTTTTTTTTTCTCCCTAAGCTCTGTTATATTACAAAAAAAATAAGGTATCATCGAAGAAAATCGATGCAAAACTACGTAAGTTATAAGCGATCAAATAAAAATACCCAGGTTGCGCAATTTCAACGTATACCTCAAAACGTATGTATGGTATAAAGAAGAGTGAAATGTCTAGCTATGCTCTGTTTCTATTGAGTTAAAAGTTCAATTTACGAATGAAATTACCCATATTTTTAACTTTTTTTTTAAATTTATTTATGTTTATACTATATTCACCAACGGTAAACTCGACTCTTTCCGGCCAATCCTTTCTGACGTAGTGGTCCTTACGAGCTCGGCTATCCCACTTGCAGAGGAAGCAGCAGTGCTTGTTGTAGCCACTTTGTAGACCGCATAGCATTGCAACGACTTTGAGATCAGAACATATTTTCCAATCATGCTCTTCATATTTGATAAATTTGAGTATTTTTTGCATTTCCTCGTAGGTTTCCTTTGTATTTACTGCATGTGCAATCGGGATAGAAGGCTTTTTGTTACCAATATGCAATAATACAGCCTTCAAACTCAGTTTATTGCCGTCTATGAACAATCGCCACTCTTTTGAATCATATGTTTGACCAAACTCTTTGAATAAACCAGGGATGTCGTTGCAGTAGCATATACTGTCTTTCTTGGTATAGTGTTTGGAAAATGGTTCGTGACGAGTTCTACTATATGTCACCTTAACATCGGATGACAGAAATTTAAATTGTTGCATACGAGAAGTGTGGATCTCGGCCTTTTCCTTGGATAGTTCCAAATCTCTTATCCAATCATTAAGTTGCGCTTGTGACAGAACGTTTCTTTCGTTTTCCATGCGAAATTCAGTACAACTTGATCCCCCGCACTCAGATGTTACTGTTGACAATGGAACTGGATCTGCAACTGCCGTTGAATGTAGTACTGGTAATGTCACTGTAGGTACGCTAGCATAGGTTACTCCTCTTGATCTTCCAACGCCAAGTACTTTTGTTTGACAAATATAACACTCTATTGAATGGCAAGTAGGTTCTCTCCATATCATTGGTGTATCAAATTTTGTTTGTTGTCCTGATTCCCACTGAATCAATTCTACTCGACACGATGTACACAAAGTGTTCGGTGTCCATGGTTTTTCAGCATTTTTAGGCTCAATTCCAAAATACTTGGAGTATAAAGTTTTGATATGATCTGAGAACACTCGTCGTCGCCTTATGATAGTATATTGGCCACACATGAAACAGAACATATCTGGATCCTTATTACACTCAAATTCTCGCGTCCTTTTACTCATTTTATTTTTTTTAATAAATCACGGTTTTGAAATTAGACTTATGAACTGAACTATCTCCGGCGAGCCTTGAAGATGTTATGAAGTTTCAAAGCGCATTAACTCATATTTATACTCGGAACAAGAATAAAATTGAAAAAATCAAATCTTACCTAGACAGAAAGGTTCCTTTTTATAACAAGCCGGGAAAAGAAAATACTACCTGTTTTAGATGTAGGCTTTAGAAATTTTCTGTGTCTTATAATTTTGAAAATCTACCTGCATACTTACCCATAACTGACGGAAATACATGTTTATAACTACATGCCTACAGCAGGTTTCGAACCCAACCACTCTTCCTTTCGATGCAACCACTCTACCTACTATAATACAATTCGAGTATTAAAAGTACTATTTGATTTATTTAAAGAAAAAGTGTTATCATTGTAATGGTGTTATTCGTTTATCCGGATAATATCTCACTTGCACTTTATACCTTTAATATATGTATGTATGTATAGGTACATACATTGAAGTTGCGCAACCTGGGTATTTTTATTTGATCGCTTATAACTTACGTAGTTTTGCATCGATTTTCTTCGATAATAGCTTATTTTTTTTGTAATACAACAGAGCTTAGGGAGAAAAAAAAAATCTGCAAAAAAATAAAAGGTTTTCGAGATCCTTCCCCGCAAAGTACAATTTTTTTTATATTTTTACAAAAAAAATTTAAAAAATCGATAATGATTGTTCGTTATCTTTGAATCTACAGGGCCTAGTAAAAAGTGTTGTATGCACAGTTTATAGAAAATTGTATTACCTTTTAAAAGCTTTAAACCGTTTTGGAATTGCTTAATTCGTTCTTGAGATATATATGATAAAGTGGACCCAATTTTTTTTTTTTTGCAAAAACGGTAAATTGCAAATATCTCAAAAACGGTACCATAGAATTAAAAATAACCTTGATTTTCGGAATCAGGGGGTGATTTTACATAAGAATTTCATAACGGCGTTTCTGGTAAAGAGAAAAAGGTGAAATTTGTGGTCCAGTGTATTTAGAGGTCGCTCAAAGCGCTCAAAGTTTTCCCTGTGTTTTAAGTATATGGGAAACAAACAACTTTCCCTAGAAATTTTATAGAATTCTTGAAAATCAATATTTTTCGATTGGAAAATGCTGGTTCTATTCAAGAGGCTTCCAGTAATTGTTTATTTATCATTTTTTAATATTAAAGATTTTTCTTATACCTCTCTCGATTGATACCCATATTAAAATATTTTATTTAACTTGTTAATTAAATTGATTTAAAATTTACTGAATCGACTGTAACCTTTTAAACAGCTGGTAACCCCCTTAAAAAAATTTGAAATAAATAGTTTTGCAACATATTTCGTTTGAAACCCACGCTGTGGTAACATTTATTTAACTTCTTAATTTGTTGATTTTAACTTTGAAAAAATGTGACAACTTGTTTGCGAAATTTCATTGAAATACATACAGCCTCACTCACTCACAAGCGTTCACATTTATAATCGGTGTGTTTTTGTTTTCTATGTCGGCCTAATCTTGATTCCTTCAGACTTTTTTGTGCGAATGTCTGCTTCATGTTATTTAGTTAAGCATTCGATTTACGTCGGGTCAATTTCAGATGAAAATTTAAATGGCACTTAAGTTTAATTTGATTCTGCGACAGATCACTCTTCGTATTTAGGTTATAAACTATACTAATACTTTAATAGAAATATTTTTTACCATACATACATACACATTGATTACTTTCAAACGTGTTTTGAACCATCTTAACGCCAAATATTACAGTTTATTTCTTCCAATCTTCCTTTTCTCTCTATTTCTAGCTAAATCAAACTTGCGCCATTGCCGTCGTTCATTGCATTTGGGTTGACACAATCAAGAGGAATTGACCATGCAATGAAATTAGTGTCAGACGGCTCAACATGATGGCAACCGCAATTGAAACCACATTTATCACTCGCCAGGTGGCGCCCACATCAGTTGCATTAGCAGCTAAATTGTCGCTGACAAACCGAGTGAACCCACCGGCAGCAACACAAACATTTAACACAACAACAACAACAACAGCAGCAGCAGCAGCAGCACTGACTTTAACAGAAGCACCGGAGAGACCACAAAGTTTGTGTTCAAGAACCACATCAGCAACAACAACCAAAACAAAAACAACAAAGCATTGTCTTTTCAAGCATACACCATCCTTAGCCACGTCCGGCCCTAGCACTGGCCGCCATATGCGGCAAATACTCAATGCACATCTGGTTATTACAGCAACAACACTGCAGCAATGTGCGGCAGTACGATGGCAACTGTTGGTTGTCTTCCTTATCTGCAACTGCATTGGTGAGTAGGTTCTTGGTACTTGCTATGGCACACTGTAGTCTAAATGTGTATGAGTGTGTGTGTGTGTGTATGTGTGCGTGTTGTTGCTCGAATCCTGCAGGAAATGAAGCTAACTCGAAACTAAACTAATTAATTTTTGCTTTCAATTAAATTTATACTGACTTTTGCG